GCTCAAGATTTAAGCTGGTGATGGAGGTGCGTCCTCGTGTGGCGTCAGGAGTGCTACTGCATGTCTTCACTGGAGAGAAGGAATATCTCACCCTGTACATCTATCAAAGCCAGGTCTGAAGATCCATCAGAGTTTCATTACACACACCCCGTGCTGTGGGACCACATTTCTGTCCTTGAAATATCGTTAACTTATCACTGAGCCAAGCCTTCAAATGATTACTGACTAATCAAGAATAGGAAATGTTGCTGTAAGACAAGTTTTTTGGGTAGCCTTTGAGAAAAGCAGTATACTTTAGCATTTAATAAGAGTGGTTATTACAGAAATAATACACTTTACATTCATTTCAAAGTTAATTACATTCTTTTAATGTTTTTGGACACTTCATTGCATGGTTTTTACAATTACATGAAAATGTATTATAGTTTTGAATTAATATTAAATGCAGTTAGTTGAAATTAAGGGTACTTGTTTGACCCACTTAAATAGGACTTAAAGGGATAGTTCACTTTGAAATAAATGTTTGGTAAGCTTAAAGGAGAACTCCGGTGCAAAATGAACCTCGGGTGTAATAACACATTGGTACAGACTAAATCGTTCCCTGAGATTTGTTTTCATGATAATCGAATGTAAAGAGTTTTATCTCTAAAAACAGTTTAGCTTATAACGCTAGTATATTGGGCATCGAGTAAGCAAAAAGAGATCGCTAGTTAATACCATTAACAAGGCTCAAATTAGCCCCACACTAACACGGCAGCATAATGAGTGTCCTTACATGCAAACCGAAGCATTGAGAACTTTGTAAGTGTATAGAAAGTTTAATAAGAAGATACTTTACACAGACAGTACAGTTAGCGCATACAGACAGGAGCCATCTTGGAAAACAGTCTGTAAGTAACACTGTAAGTGTGCATTTAATACAATTAAGTGCACTTATTTTCCACAAGGAAGACTATAGAAGGGCTTTCCGTTTGGATAGCTTTAAAAGAATGATAAAGAAATGATCCAAAAATATGTTAAAACATTGGCCGCTCCTGGGAGGGTACACATACATGCTCCAAATCTTCTCCAAACCCTTTTCCAACTCTCAACATGATCAAAAAGGACACCTACATTTGCTCCAAAGTTCATTAATGTTACTAACTTGTTATACAAATGTGCTTGTTATAAAAATAATTTTTGTATTGATGTAAAGTAATATAGAATAATATAGAATAATTTCATTTATGAGCACATTTTACTGAATATCGCACTGTTCACAGAAATCTCGGATTGATTCTTTGGGAAATGTTGTAATGCTGTTTGAGCGAAGAACAGTAACCAAAGAAGCCGAGATTAGAGGATGATTATATGCAATACAACTGCAATGCAAAAGTTTATATTGTGGCCATGTGCATGTGTTTCCCTTCTTGCAAGAGATATTTGATAGGAAGTCATGTGACTGATTTGATGGTTTTTTTGTAGGTGGTGGTCGTGGTGAATAATGGTATCCGTGAGTTCTCCACATATGTGTCTCCAAGACAAGAAATCTGTGATGGAAACTGGCACAAGATCACAGGTAGAGACTTACAATCCATACACTTTATATGGTTATAATGTATCATTCCATCAGTCTCGTACGTTGTGCTTTCCTTAAAGGTATTGTAGGTAGGATTTAAAAAAAAAAACTTTTTGCCAAATTTGTTTAAACTTTCTATATATCAATGCATAATTAAAATGTAAGTACTCTGGAAAAGAGAGTATAAAAATCGAGTGTCTGTAGTCCTCTCAGGGCTGTAATAAACACAGCTACTTATCTCCATTCACTTCCACCCCCTCCATTCTGGGCTCCTTCCAAAACCACGCCCCCAAAACACATGAACGCGCGATGCCGACAGCTCACAGCTGGAGGACGCGCTTACCAGCGCCGAGCGGAGAGGAGCAGTGCATGTAGTGACATCATGTCAGACTCACATGTAATAAAATACCTAACTTTATCATTATGAATATAAACAACTAACATGGCTGTTAGTACTCACTATCAAGCTAGCATATCGATACTGGTAAAGTTTAAAATATATTGAGTTTGATTCGTTAACGAGCTAGTAACATAAAGCAAAGCTAAAAACAGGTTGCATTGATACACGTTTTCCCATTACAATCAGTTACACTGTGATGAAGGTGAATTTCGTGTAAGATTCATAACATATACGCCGTGTTTTGCATGTAATTGTGTCTCTTACTAGTCTCTTACCCTCCTCGAGTCAAAGGAGTGCGCGCATGTGGGCAGCGCATGTAGCAGCGGGGGTGTTGCCATGGTTGCGAGAGAGTGACAGTCGCCTAAGCCAATCCTTTGTTTCGTCCCGGAAGGAAATAATGAGCTGTGTTTAGTGCAGATTAAACGGTCTAGAGTCACTCGATTTTTATACTCTTTTTATCAGAGTACTTACATTTTAATTATGCATTGATATATATAGAAAGTTTAAACAAATTTGGGAAAAAGTTTTTTAGACCAAAAACGACCTACCCTACCTTTAAATCATCAACATTTATAACTAAACTATTTTATAAATATTACATTTTCAACTAATTACTTTTTTTCTTTCCAGCTAAGACTCAATTTGTACAGAGAAATAACCACTCATTAAAGATTGGCTCAGTTGTAGATAATGTGTTGTAGATAGCTGTGCTGTTGTGGCGCCTCAGACTCCTGGCGGGGCAGTGAGGCGGCAGGTGCGGGGCGTCATTAAGCATGTTAATGTTGTTTCCAGTGATCAGAGATGGTCCCGCGGTGCATCTGGACGTGGACTCAGAGGTCAGTCACGTTGTGGCGTCTGTCAGTGAACCAGCGCAGAGGTCCGGCGCTCCAGTGTTTATTGGAGGAGCTCCAGGTCAGTCACCACTAATTTTCAGAGACAGTGGCCACTCATAAAATAAACATTTCATTGGGGTAGATATAGGATGACCAGATTTGTCATGGTGGAATACGGGACGGGATGGACAGTAACCTGGGGGCCCCCTTTTTTTCACTATTTCATGATATGAGACATTTTATTTCATGATAATGATATATATCATATATATATATATATTATTTTTGTTATATAAAACAGAACAACGAAGCAAATTACAAACAATTGGACACGAGGAGTTACAATACGATATTTACAAATTAAATAAACTATGTTTTTCAGGTAGTTTTATTTAACCTTTATTTAACATATTTTGCTGTTTGATTAACATCAATGACACAGACAGGTATTTTAGGCTGCCGTCACTTTAAGACCGAATGCTAGGATCTAATATACTGACCATAATTGTATTTTTTTTTTATTATTTGAAACATCAGAAAGTTTTATGTTTTAAACATTTAGCTTGAAAGTGTGTTTGTGCTATCTTTAAAATGCAATACTTTTTTAATGGAATTACACACATTTTAAAGAGTCCTAGTACTTTTTGGTGCCACTTTTTGCAATCCAGCTTACAACAGTTTCAAAAGTGGTGGTCCCATTTTATATTAGCTGTCTTTAAAGCCAAAGCACAACCAAAAAAATGTTCTTTTTACCGCTAGTGGGCCAAAAGTTACATACCCCTGGTTTCAAAGATAAGGATTAAGCTAGTACCAGACTAAAATGCATGTTTGAAATGAATGAAACTTGCACTGGTATATCTTAAAATATGTCAGTGTCATTGTTTTGCATCAAGAATATAAAGTGGCTCCAATTTGGCTAATCCAATCAGATTTTAGAGCTGGAACTGTCAAATAACTCCTGAACATAATGTAAGCTTAGGCTGTTTCTTTCAAATGCTACTGTAAGTGTGTTCACCGCAATGTTATTCAAATGGTTTTGCCCTTTTTGTCTTGTCCAGCCTCCATGCTGTCTCCCAGTCTCCTCAGCAGGAGAGGCTACACCGGCTGCATGAGGAGCGTGTCTGTGAACGAGTCTCCCGTGAGCTTCAGTGACGCGGCGCTGGTCAGCGGAGCGGTCGGTGTGGGCTCCTGTCCCGCCGCTTGAGCCACCACAGAAATAAACACGCCTCTTCAGCATCATTTATATTTACTAATGAGCTGTAAAACAGAGCACTGCAACCTTTATGTTAACTTGATACCAAAGGTTCTTAAACTGACGTATATGTAATATCTATAAAAACCTTACTTTTTTTGCTCAGAATATTAACAAAGCCATACAGTAAGAGACTATGTAGTCATGATACTAAATACAGTACTTCACTCAGTGCTTTATCTGAATACGTTTCTTTAATAAAGCTGGTGTTTTCTGACATTTGTTTTGTATATGGGTTAATAGAAAATGGGTGTGATGATGATGATGATGTTGAACTCCTGTGAAATGTTAGGCTAAGAACGTTTGAACAAAAGCATTTTATATGTGATCACTGAACATAAACATGAATTCATATTCATTTCATTTCAGTATAAAAATGGACTTTAATGTAAATATTAAAAGAATATATCAACAACTTATAGATCACTTTTGTAGAAATGAATAGTTAATTGTAAATAATTGACCGACTTTCTTTTACAATATGAAAGCGAGGTTTATAGTTCAGAGACATAAAACTGTTATTTCTGATTGGGATGTGTCTTAATGTTACAACAAGATTGTGATCAAAAGGCCAATAAAAATACTATATCTGAAAACATATATGGCTTTAACAGTTCCCATTATAGCTACATATAAAAATGAGAAGTGTAACATTATGTTGATAAATTATGATAAAACCACATAAAAAATATCGGCACAGGGTCCAAAGAACAAATAATAACCCTCTAAACACAAAAACAGCCATATCAATGAAAATTACATTAAATTGGTATTAACAAAATATAATTAACTATTTTTTTTATCAACTAAACAAAATCCCAGCTTTTTAATTCTTATTTAAATTATTAGTACAAACAGGGGAGGCCTGAAAAATGATTAAAGAAAAATGATAAGAGGGAGGAAAAAAACTACAAACAGAACAGAACTTCCTGTCGCGCTGTGACACGTCATCAACCGACGACGCTTTTGACTCCAGCGCGCGAAACGCCCACTGTTTCTATAGCAAACAACAACGGAACAAGCAATAACTTTTACAGATGGACGTCGTTTACACATCGATAGTGTAAACAAGTTTCTATTTAGTTTGATAACATTGCATGAACCAGAAAGATGACACAGTCCATAGTAGTCCAAGGTAAGAGAGTTCGTCTTTAATGGTCACACTGCTGCGTGTCAGATGCTTGATCTGTGGAAACAAACAAACCGCTGATTTGGTACAAAACGGGTTAATTTGTCAACTCAAGACCACTGATATGGAGGACTTGGTTTGCCACTTTCAAAATTAAAAGAAGAAATTAGTTATCAATGTATTATTAAACAAATTAAAATGTACTTGAATACATAAATCCCATTTCAAATTGACAAATAAGTTACAGTTTAAAAGTGTTTCTTGGATTCGTGTTTACAAGTATGTAAGGATCCCCTTCCATCTAAAACTAGAAGTGCACCACCATCATGTCTCACCTGGAGAAAAAGGTCAAGCTGTCATTGGTGCTCAAAAATGTTTTGGTGGCCCTGGGTAAGAATGTGTGTCTTCTTGTTACCTCTTTTTCTCTCCTCCAGTTGGTCAGTGTGGGAATCAGGTGGGCTGCCGCTTCTGGGACCTCGCGCTCAGAGAACATGCACATGTCAATCAAGTAAGAAACCATTTTTGACAGTATAAGTAACATTAGCAATAGCTTTTATAAACGTGCGTCTTGAGACAAAACAATGGCACTGACAAATCGTCCCCTTGGAATTATAAGGTTCTATCTGCGTTCTGAGCAGTTTTGAGATATTGAGCTTCAAAGTTTTTGCATTACAAATAGGAAAATTTATATGGGGAACAAGTTTCTTTCAAACATGAAAATAACAGGGACCCTAAATGTATTCTAAATATACAATATCAAAATCCTCTCAAATTTGTAAATGGGTTTTTTTGGAATGGGTCAAACGCAGATAGAACCTTCTAATTCTAAAAAAACACTTTTCGCTTAGAATTATAAGGTTCTATCTGCCAAAACATTATTTGAACATTAAATATAAAATGAATGTTGTAACAATGTCTCAACATGTGTTAGAAAGTAAAATTTTATCCTTTCTATGACATTTATTTCATATTTTTTAGCACTTCCATGTATTTAGGACATTTCAAATTAAGCAAGGTAGGTCTAAATATTTTGTCCAGTGCAGAATCTTAATTTTCGTTACCAATTTGGTGGGTAATTAAACACATTATTGCAGAAATTGTTACTTTAATCTTTCTTTTGTTTAGACAGAAAGCAGCTACTGTAATACATCTGAGCAGGACTTTATTCCAGCTAAAGTGGGCCAGGTGAAATGGCTTTCTCTCTATACATCAGTATGGCTGAAATAACATGCTAACGTTTATTGTTGTAATTAAGACCCCATCAATGAAATTGTTAACTATTTGACCTTTAAGGCTTAAAATTGTAAAAATTAAGACATTTCAAGACTTTAAAAACTACAAGAAAATCGACATGCTTCAGCAAATTAATTCATAAAGTTTAATAATCATTGAAAAATTATTCACTGACTATTATGATCACAAAAAATGTCAGACTAATTTTTTAATCACACACACACACACACACTCTCTCTCACTCACACACACACAGTCACACACTTTCTCACACACACACACACACACACACACACACACAAACACACTTTCACGCGCGCGCGCGCACACACACACACACACACACACACACACACACACACATACTTTCGCACACACAGTCACACACACACTTTCGCACACACACACATTTTCACACACTCGCGCACACACACACACACTTGCATGTTAAATGTTTTTTTAAATATTCAATTTACCCACTGCATATTTGTATAATTCAGATAATAAGAACTATAATAATAATAGTTATTAATAATAACCTCATTGATAATTAATAATAATAACCAATACACTATAAAGAAAATGGTCAAATTGAAGCCACTTCATAACACTACACAATTTAGTGAATATTTAATTTACTGTAAATGTATAGCATTAAGCCTTTATGGGGTTTCTTTTTGTCTTCAAGGAAAAAGCCTGCGACATGACATATAAAGTTGATTCTGATTGGTCCTCTTCTGTGCATTCGAAGTGCTGATTGGCTCAGGCAGATAGAACCTTATAGAGCCAAGTTAGAGTTCGATTTTGTAGATTTTCAATAAAAAGTCCCACAATGGACACAATTTAAAAAAACACATCACATAATGTAAATAAGTTGTCACAGAATAAGAATATGTGAATAACTCAATTTTGACAAAAATGTCAGATAGAACCTTATAATTCCAAGGGGATGAAATTTTAATATATGTCAGTGCAAGTTGCTTTCAGTTCAAACATGCATTTTAGTCTGGGTTTAGTCTTGTCTCTGAAACTGTGGGATTATTTAAAAGCACACTAAAATAATTTTAACATGAGTTATTTTAGTGATCAGTGGTCGAGCAGCGAATGGTGGAGAGAGAGAAATTATCAACTAGAAGTCTTTATAGAACGTAAACTGGAAAATCAATTTACACGTGTTTAGATTTATATACTGTGCACTGAACATACATTGGTGAATTATTTCAATGCTTATCAAGAGACAACTTATTTATAGCCTATAATTTGTAAAAAGTACCAAATCAATGCTTAGAAATGTTGTTATTTAAAGGTGGGGTATGTGATTTTCTTTTTTGACCATTTTTTCGAAATTACTTGAAATCCTATTCCTAACCCACTTACAGCCACTGAGTTAAGCAAAATTAAGCAATTTAATCATCTGTGGAACGGGCAGGACTCGAAAAGCCAATCATTTCCAAGACCACCTAGAATCATTGGACTGTAAGTGCATCAATCAAACGGTCGTACCATACCCCCCATCCCCTCGCGCGCGTGTCCCCATCGTGCGCATACTCAAAGCTCGTGACCCAGTCACAGTAAATGCAAGTCACCCCGGTAGAGAGAGAGAGAGAGAGAGAGAGAGAGAGAGAGAGAGAGAGAGAGAGAGAGAGAGAGAGAGAGAGAGAGAGAGAGAGAGAGAGAGAGAGAGAGAGAGAGAGAGAGAGAGAGAGAGAGAGAGAGAGAGAGAGAGAGAGAGAGAGAGAGAGAGAGAGAGAGAGAGAGAGAGAGAGAGAGAGAGAGCGCAAGTTGCTTCCGTTTGGAGAATGATTGCTAGGGCTGCCACTTTTGTGAAAAAATCCTGTTCGATTTTTGAGACGTAAGTGTTCATTGAATCGATTGTAAAATCGATTTTCCATGTCTAAAGACGTTTCCATTTTCATCACCACATATAGGCAAATCCACGTACAACTAACAGGGATTAGGACGAACGTAAAGAGGGCGCTTGAGACGCGCACAAGTCAGCAATATTTCTGATGATTTATTGGCGTGAAGTTTCGTGCACAATGACAAACAGGAGCGCAACATTCAGAGATTGAATTTAACACCCTCCAACTCGCCAAATGCGGATAAAAATTAACTTTGGCGGGTAACTCTGTCAAATCACGAGCCAATCTGGCGTGTTTCTATGTTTACTCACTTTCTTAGCTGGGGAAGTTCGTGTAAGCCAAATCTGCGCGGATTTAGCGCAAATACTCAACTCGTGAGTCCTCATGATATATTAAATACAGTGTATAGCGCAGAATCTGCGCATTTCTGGCTTACTTGAACACACACGTCACTGAGCAACAAATAACGGTGCGCTTGTTCACTTGCATTGAAGTAATAGCGAATATTAAAAAGCATTTGGTTAACAGAAAAGACATTGTTATTTTCCGACATCCTACATGTTCTGTGCACTGTAAGGCAAGGCAAGGCAAGGCACGTTTATTTATATAGCACATTTCATACACAATGGTAATTCAAAGTGCTTTACATAGGAGGAAATAATTAAAACAGTTTAGAATAAAAAATAAAATAAAGTACAGTAAAAACAGTCGGACGAACATTGGCACAGTGCTCATTCAGTAAATGCATAGCTAAACAGATGTGTTTTGAGTCTGGATTTGAATGTGACTACTGTAGGAGCACATCTGATCTCCTCTGGAAGCTGGTTCCAGCTGCGGCTGGTATAATAGCTAAAAGCAGACTCTCCTTGCTTAGAGTAAACCCTTAGTTTTTCTAACTGATGTGATCCTAATGATCTGAGTGATCTGTTGGGTTTATATTCAGTGAGCATATCTGCAATATATTGAGGTCCTAGCCCATTGAATGATTTATATACCAGTAATAATACTTTAAAATCAATCCTAAATGTAACTGGGAGCCAGTGTAAAGACCTAAGGACTGGTGTGATATGTTCAAATTTTCTGGTTCTGCTCAGAATCCTGGCAGCAGCGTTCTGTATGAGCTGCAACTGTCTTATGGTCTTTTTAGGAAGGCCAGTGAGGAGTCCATTACAATAATCCACCCTGCTGGTGATGAAAGCATGCACAAGTTTCTCTAAGTCTTGACTGGAAACAAAGCTTCTAATTCTTGCAATATTTTTCAAATGATAGTATGCTGATTTAGTTATTGCTTTGACATGACTACTGAAACTAAGGTCTGACTCTAGAGACACACCAAGATTCCTGACTTGATAGAGCTGTGTGTCGTCTGCATAGCTGTGGTAAGAGATGCGGTTCTTTCTCATTATTTGGCTCATTGGGAGCATGTACAGGTTGAATAAGAGTGGTGCAAGAATTGAGCCTTGAGGGACTCCGCATGTCATGGGTGTCCACTCAGACTTATGGTCTCCTATACTCACATAATAACCTCTCCCTTCTAAGTATGACCTGAACCATTTTAGGACTATCCCAGAAAGCCCCACCCAGTTTTCCAGCCTGTCAAGAAGTATGTCGTGATCGACAGTGTCAAATGGAGCACTGAGGTCGAGTAGTACCAGCACTGATAATTTGCCTGTATCAGTATTTAAGCGAATATCGTTTATTATCTTTATGAGCGCTGTCTCTGTGCTGTGATGCGATCGGAAACCAGATTGAAAATTGTCAAAGTATCCATTCAAGCTTAGGAATTTGTTCAGCTGATTGAAGACAATTTTTTCAATGATCTTGCCTATGAAAGGAAGATTTGAGATCGGTCTATAATTGCTTAAGATGGTCTTATCCAGATTGCTCTTTTTCAGGAGGGGCTTGATAACTGCAGTTTTCAGGGAGTTTGGAAAATTCCCAGAAAGAAGTGAGGCATTTACCACTTCTAGGAGATCTGCTTCTAAGCTGTTTAACACACTTTTGAAAAAAGATGTGGGAAGTGTGTCAAGGGCGCAGGTTGATGTTTTAAGGTAGGGGTGTAAATCGGAGCCTACATGACGATTCGATACGATACCGATTTCTTAAGCCAATGATTCGATTATTTTCGATACTTCAGAATTCCCCCCGATACGATTCGATACGATTCAATAATCGATATTTTTACATGATATCTATTAAGTTTCAAATAAATCAACAAAAATGTTTAGAATTTGCCTTTTATTGAGAATACAAGAACAGTATTATATTCACATAATGTGTATGTTGTGCTCAATGCACTACAAATAGAACAGCAAATATAACAGTTACTGCATACAGTTCTAAACTTGATTCTATCGAATCCTGGTGCGTTTCCGTGCATCTTACGTCATCGCAAACGTGCACGACGCATGAT